ATTACCATGCACAGCTGCTGAATGATTTGTTGATATTTTAACCTCTGGAGTGTGAGATTTGTCATATGACCTCAGCTTGAGCTTATTTTTCTAATTTATATAATTATGTTTATTAAAATATGATTACTAGATAATAAATATTTGGTCATTTATTCCCTAATGGAATAATTTTCTCGTCGCTTTCATGACTACTTGGTAATATTACAAGCCCATGATAGATGCAGTTCTGTATGAAGTATGTGATTTTAGCACTGGGGAAAACATGTTTCTTTAAAAATAACCAGTTTTTTGGTGTGTTGATTTAATTTTTTTTTTGTAGTTAAAAATCAAACACAAATTTGTATACTTATGTTTCAACAGAATACAATTATTATTCTGATAATTAAGTACATGATTAATTTTGTTTTGGGAGTGTTTTGGGGGCTTGTTGTTTTGTGTTGTTTTGTTTCTATTTTAGAGCTTGATACAGATTAGGCTGGAATCAAGCCTGTCACTATTCCTGCCTCTGCCTCACAGGCCCTGGAATTGTAGGTGTGCACATACATGGCTCACAGTTGTTTTAAACTACACTGAAGTAGCTCTTTCCATTTTAGATGGATAAAATGTAGAATGTAAACGGAAATTTATTTGAAATATTTAAGGTCAATATACTTAGTACTACTTATTTAAATACTTTTTCCTTTATTTTATTTCACCGTTAGGACAAGTGATTCATTGCAGTCTTTTTAAAAACATTTTATTATTTTTATTTATTGTGAATGAGTGTTATCGCTGCATGTAGGTAAGTGCACCCGTGTCGTGCAATGCCTGTGGAGGGCAGAAGAGGCTGTCGGATCCCCTGGAACTGGATTACGGACAGTTGTTAGCTGCCATGTGGGTGCTGGGATTCAAACCTGGGTCTTCTGCAAGAACAATCAGTGTTCTTAACCACTGAGCCATCTCTCTAGCCCCTCATTACCATCTTATACAAATCCACGCCACATACACTCTGTATTTGGCATTAGGTAATCTGTTCTTCTCATTCTGGACGTCGGCAGAGATATCCTTATATATAAATATGTGTGTGATTGGTGACCATCCCACCAGGCTTCAAGGAATCCACCAAGACCATGAAACTGTTTGTGACTTCTAAAAGTTAGGGGTGCTACCAACTGACTGGATCAGAACCAACCCAGAACTCCCCTGTGTAGATTATTTCACTCTTTTCTCTCAAGGATTTCAGAATGAAGGAGTCAGGACTCATATTTGGGGGCTCCAGGAATTATGCATTTATTATGTAATTTATTTTATTTATTTACTTGACCCAAGTGGATTTTAAGTTATGAATGCCATTTTTGATTTGTTGGGTTTTAGGTTTTATTTGTTGGGTTTGTGGGGAGGGTCACAGGAGGGAATCACAGCTCCAGATTTATGAGATGTAATCACAGCTCCAGGTTTGTGGGTGGGGACCACAGCTCCAGGTTTGTGGGAGGGGACTACAGCTCCAGGTTTGTGGGAGGGAACCACAGCTCCAGTCTCATTGGAAGGATCATACTCCTTTGCTCTTCCCACATGTTTATACTTGTCTTTAAGAAAGAGTGTTTTTGGCTCTGTGCAGCAAACCAAAGCAACAGTTGCTTGCTGGCTTGAATGTCTCACTAGAGGGACATCAGTATTGGAGAAAACCCATTTTGGCTTTTGCTCAAGGAGACAGATGGATGGAGTATCTTCTTTACATGGTCAAGGATCTGGTTAACTGTTTTGGTGTCTGCTGTTTTCACATCTTCCTCTGTGGCCTGGGGAGCAAGTGATGAGACATCTTACTGGAGTCATGTTTTAAGTTCTCTGATTGAACCACAAAGGCCATTTCCTGCTTCAAACTCCCCACCTTCGCTGTTCCCCAGGCCAGACCCTTGGGGAGTGCACAACCAGGTCCAAGGGGCACTAATCCTCACCTCACTGTGCCAAGAGCCACTGCCACCACTACCACTGCCACCACCACCACCACCTCCACTGTTGCTCCAGTGCTCACACTGCTACCATCTTGGCTTACCAGTTATTTTCTTTCTTTCTTGTCAAGTCCTGAGCTCAGAATTTTGAGATCATTATAAAAGCAACTAAAGTCAGGAAAATAGCCATCCTGTGTGATAAGGGTTTCACATGGACTCATGTACTCAGAAGCACATGCATATGCACTCAGAAGCCGGTGCATCCTGGTGTCCAAGTGCAGCTGCCTGGGGCACACCTCATTCTGCCATCTTGATCTCTCTCTTCTTGTGGGGATTTTTTTTTTTATATCTTGTTTTGTTTTGATTGGTATTTATTTGGCCTAACTTTTTTTTTTTTAATGAGCTATAACAAAGGGTTACTTTATATGAGGCAAAAGGAAAATGAGTACACCATTCTTCATACCTCACACTGCACTAGTGGCGTAGGAAAATAGCGTAGTGTAACGTCACTTGGCGCCTGGGCTGAGGATATTGCCTTTGTCAGAAGCTGGGAACTTTTCTGGGTTACACGTAGAAACAGATACTGCTGTGGATTATCTCTTTGATGACCCTTGTCTTATCCTATTACCCACCTTGTGCCCACTCAGAGTTCCAACCCTGTTACTCAGTGCATGGGAGAGTTCCTGAGAGCAAACTTCTTGCACTGTAGATCAACATGAATAGATTTTGCTTCCAGTGCACCTTTAACAGAGGGCCATGGGATATAGGAATTCTATTTCTCTCTTGGCCACACTGCAACTCCAGTGCCAACTACAGCACAGCACAACTCAGGAGACACCGTTGTCTCTATTGACATTAATACAGACTAAGGAGGAGGCTAGTCAGGGGTAATACCACATTTTAGAAACAGGAACAAGCTTGGTAGGCTTGGTGGTACCACACACATGATCTAAGCCCTCAGGAGAAAGTGGCCTCACGGCCCCACAGGGCTAGCAGAGTTACATAGTGGGACCCCGTCTAGTGACAGAAATGTGTTCATTCAGATTGGTGAGGGAGAGAAAGTGAAAGAGAGAAAATACAATCGGAAAGTGTTCCCTCCAACAGAGAGAGAAGGTAAGAATTCAGAGGCAGAGAATGCCTGTGGCTATGCTCCCTGGGGCCCCACAGTGCAAAGTGAGCATGAATCCAGAAGCCGCTCTGTCAGCAACTCAGTTAACAGAACTATTTTTCCTTTTTTAACTTAGAAAGCCAGTCTGGTTTGGTGATACTAAAATCAAGAGATGCAATCTTCACATCAAGTCAGCCAGTCTCCATCCTAGGAGAAAATTCTGCATAGAAAACCATTTGAAAAGCTTGGGGACTGTGAGGTTTCAGAACAGCAGTGTTGAATATGATGACTTCAGTGATGTGTGACATTGATTTGATGCTCCAGAAATCAGATATTTCTATGTGGAAACCATGGAAGAGCCAGCATCATTTTAGATGTCTGTTACCTAGGGGTACCACATATAGTCATGTTTGATGCTTACCTTCTGGGCTGGAGTTTGACTGTCCCTTCTGACACAGCTACGGCTGCAGCTATTGAGTTTGCCACTGCTGCTTTTCCTTAGTTGAAAGAGCATGGTGTTTGGGAAAGACAGGTCACTGTGTTTGTTCATAGATGGGTCTTGGGGGAAGAGTCTTCTTGAAACAATATTCGGGTTCTTAGTATCTCAAAGAACCCCTCAGGCCCAAGGATTTCCTTTGTTAAAGGGAAAATACGGACTCCTTAAAAAGGGTAGGCCTTTCTTTAGCGATTGTAGATGATTGGTTTTTTTTTGGTTTTATTTTCATTCTTGTCTGTTAGATGTTATACAATTCTTGGTGCTTTCCAGGGCAGTGTAGGGTATGTATGTGTTGGGGGGGGGGCTCTTCTTCAATTGCTGGGACCCAGAAATAATCAAATAATCTTATGATTCATAATCATGCACATTTGGCCCTACACTCTTGCCTTATATTGGCATTTGTAACTTGGAGACTCTAGGCTTTTATCTTTTAGAAAGGTATTTTCCCTCTACACAAGTTAGTCAAATCATGTATAGACAAGATGTGTGTGTGTGTGTGTGTGTGTGTGTGTGTGTGTGTGTGTGAACAGTCAGCCAGCAAGGGCAGGGAGCTACCCCCAAAAGAGAAATGGGGCTGTGGTTTCACTTCCAGCAAAAGCAGATATATGGGAAGTGTAGGGTTCTAACTTCTAATCATGATTAACATAATAAATACAGATAAATACAGTTGAATGAGTTACCACTTTTTAAGTCAATCAGGAATTGTGGAACTGACTTTGGGGAGGGTAGCAAGACATGTGGACAGGTAAGGAGTGTTTTAATGTAAAATTATGCAAAGTATATGGTAACAATTTTTAGTCTGTTGGTTATGCTTTACTATTTGGAACATTGTGGTCTAAGGGTCAGATAAAAAGATACAAATAAAAATTGTTTTACATTAGAGTTAATAATATAATTGGCCCTAAGTCATACTTAGAAATATTACATATGTTTCCCAGATATAATTGCTGGGAGTCATGCTGGCTCTGTCCCAAACTGGAAAACATTCAAAATAGATGTAATTAATTTAGTATGTGATAATTTACTGAAGAAAATGATCAGGTGTCAGTAAGCACTTAAACTTTAATATCATAACCCAAATAATCCTTTTACATCAGAGTTGACTTGATGTTATTTTAAAGGAGTAGCTTATTTTTATAATAGAGAATTGTTTTGCTGTACAGACCCTTTCTGTCATATAAAATCCGTTTAAAAGAAAAGATCTTTTTACCTCCTAGTCGAAATCCCTTAGCTATTACTGCACCCCACACATCAAATCAGCTGGGAATGCCTTGTTTAGTTTCAGAGGCGACTCCAAAGTCCTGGTGGGTGATCAGATTCTTCAGTAAATGTTTGGTAGGTGTCACCTACTCAGCCCAGCCTAGGTTACCACTGGGAAGACTCAAGCATAAGATAACCGAGTGTGTACATGAACAGTGAGACTGTACCTTTTCATGCTAAATGTGGTTCCCACATCTCCTCTGATTAGAGGTATGTTCTGAGCAAGCTGAGACGGGACCATGCCGAGCAATGATCTCCCGCTGGTACTTTGATGTCACTGAAGGGAAGTGTGCCCCATTCTTTTACGGCGGATGTGGCGGCAACAGGAACAACTTTGACACGGAAGAGTACTGCATGGCGGTGTGTGGCAGCGTCAGTAAGTGGACCCTTCCTCTAGCCTGGCCACCTTCCGTCTTTCTTGCCACTGCCTCTGCTCTTTGTAACTGATTGATTTTCCTGGTTCTTGGGAATGGGCCTGTTGCTACCACTAACCACATCTCTGTCGACTTCTCTAATTACCAGAAGTCTCCACAGTCTGTTCAATTGTGAACACATCTCTCTGTCTATCTCTAATAAAGCATGGCCTTGGATGCACTTTTTAGAGCCGTGGTAGATTCATCTTGCAATCTGTAAGGGCTTTTGACTGCTTCTCTTTACAACAGGCTTATGTCTTCCACAAATACATCTTTCTGTGTTCATCAGTGTCCATTTGTGTTCATGTTTAAGCACGTGTACCACATGTGTAGACTCTCCATCTTCAGTTGCCTTGACAAGGTTTATTTCTGTGATGAAGTCCTTTAGGTGTTTCATAACATGTGTCTTTTATTTTGTTGAAGAAATTTGATTGACTTGAGCTCATGCACCTCAGATGTCAGAGAGTAGAAATGCTCCTGCTTTCCCTTGAACTCAGGGCACATACATTTTCAATGTCAAGTTTTTTGTTTCCTCTCCTAAGGATAGAGAAGAACTGGGGACATGGCTCAATGAGTTAAACTGCATGCCGTGCCAGTGTGGAGACCTGAGTTCAAATTTCTAGAATGCAGATAAAAGCCAGATTCATAGTGTGTGTATCTGTTATTTGAGCAGTCTTTCTGTAAGGAGATAGGAGGTAGGGTCAGGAGAATCCCTGAGTATACACAGTAGAAGAACAAAAGAGACCATCTCAAATAAGGTGGAAGGTATATGCTGATACTTGGGGTTGACCTCCACTTGGTCTCTGTGGCATGTGTGTACCCCCATACACATGAAAGCACACACACACACACACATCATGTACACACACGAAGAAAAGAATAACGTCGCAACTTTCATGGATATAATAAAGCTCAGGGAAATAATGTATGATGACTCTGGAATGTCAGGCTTTACATAACTGGGGAGATAAGTATATAAAGTCATCATGACTTCAGCACAAGATGAAACTTTTCCCCAGAATCAGTTCTAAGAGGTCATGTCCCAGATATGCAGGATATGTGCTTTTGTTACAGTCTTTCTAGTTAAATCCTCAGTTGTATTTGTTCATTCTTGTGCATGAGTTGGAAGTATGAGTTGTTCAGGAAGTTAGCCTCCATTTCATCAGCTAAAAATGAAGCTTAGTAATTGTGCATTTCTTTTCTGAGAAACTCTTGCATTTTCTCCCTGGATTTGCAGGGAGTCAATATCAGCCCAGGATTTCCTGGGAAAATATTAATAATTTTCCAACCAGATCATAGGATCAAGCAAAACAACAAAAGGACCTGCACCTTTAAGACCTTACAGTGTGAAGGAGCCCTCTACCTAAGTGGGACCTGATGGAAAGTTCTGTTGATCTCCTTGGAGATGGCTCCACTTGAGTCCTCTGTGGACACAGTGTAGGAACTGGGAATCCTGACTGACTGGATGATTGCAGTGTCCAGCTCAAGAGCTCAGGACTCCCTTCTTCATTGTCAAACAAAAAGGTTAATTAGGTTAGGTAATTTGGAACACAAGGAGGGATTCTGTTGCCTGGAGCCTTTTGTTGCTGTGATTCTAACTGGCTTAGCTGCTAGGTGAGGATTCCCTGGCAGGTTGCCAAAGTTTTCTCCCTTTCCCTAAGGGAGATTTATTTTCTGGAATATCATGTCAGCTATACTATAAATAAGGAAGTTTGTTTTAAATTATTAGCAGAAATTAATTTGCCTCAGGAGCTGGGCATTTTCTTCATACCCACCTCACTATAACACTCCCCTCATGCCCTTCCCATCTGATGACTTTGGGCAAGGAGCAAAGCAGTAGGATCCAGGGCTTAGGGGGAGATGCATACACTTTATGGACAGATTTGCAAAAGATCAGTGCTGCCAACAGGCATTCATTAGACAAGGCAGGTGGTTTGACTTAGTTCTGAAAGGGTGGGTAACACATAGAGTAATGTAGCAAGGACGCAGAAGCAGAGCTGGGAAGTAGATCAGTAGCAGCATGCTTACCTAGTAGTGCCAGGCTGTGGTCCCAGCCCTAGCACCTTTTTATTTTATTTTATTTTTAAGTGCTGGGAAAATGCTTCAGTTTATAAAGTGCTTACTATGTAAGCATGAGGACCTGAGTTTGGATCCCAAGTACCCACTTAAAAGCAGGGCATGGTGGCATGAATCTGTAATCCCACGACTGTGGAGGTAGAGACAGGAGGATCCCTGGGCCTTGCTGGCCAGCCATTGTCTCAAAAAATGAGGTGGAAGGGCAATCAAGGAAGAAACCAGTGTTACTGGAATTTTGGGGTCCCCTCCTGGGACTTTTAGTCTCATTAATAAAACAATTTAAGAATAATCTCAGAAGCTTGAGGACAATTTAATATTAGGGTAGTCGAGCTGTAAATCTCAGCAGTTACTAGGAGGGAGAGAATGGAGAAAAGAAGGGGAAAAAATCATGACAATTGAGTTACCAACATGGAGGGACTACCAGATGGCCAGATGGAGAACTTTGGAGAAGCCCAGAGTATCAGAAAAACACATATTTGGCTTCTGGCCAGCATCTGAAAGGAATTTTTAAAAAAAAAAAAAGAAAGAAAGAAAAGTTGTACCTTTCTGAGTTAGGACTCAGAAAAGTGGGCCGCCCCAGCTAAACCTCACAGCTGCCTGGATTATAGGGACTGTGCTGGGGATGAGAGTTCTGGGAAGAAGTACGGTAGCTCATCAAAGGAAAAATTATTCCCTCCATCTCTTTAACACGACTTAAGGTGAGCCCATCTAACTGGAGGTTGGCGGTCCTTTGACCAGGTGATTGACCTAGCCCAATTAGAATGTTAGGTCTCCACCCAGGACAGAGATTCTATTTTCTTGGCTAGAAGTAATATTTTTCAATAAAGCCTGTCACATGGCTGATTGAGGAGCCAGAGGCTTCCTATGAGCAGGGGAAGTCTGTGGAGCTGCTGTGAGGAAAGCGATGAAGGACACTGATGATACTTGGAGGAGGGAGAACAGCAGCAGAGATGCTTGATCAGCGGTAGAATGTCCAGCGTTCCACCATGTTGCTCTTCACTAAAATAAAACTAATCTTTGTTTTTATGTTTCCTTTGGTTCCGTTTTCCAGTGATTTGTTTTTGTTTGGTTTTTTTCATTTTGTTTGTTTTGTTTTGAGTGAGGGAATCGCGTGAATTTCAGCCATCATTCCCACGTTTCTGTTTTGTTTTTAGTTATGTTCTCTTATTTTCTCCATAGTGTCTCAAAGTTTACTCAAGACTACCCAGGAACCCCAAGACCCTGTTAAACGTACGTTGTTGTTGCTCACTTGGGGGAGGGACAAGGGGAGGGGTATGTTGCATGGCAGGGCTACATCTCACTGTCATCGCCTTCTTTGCATGGATTCTGTGAAAACCTATTTTTTAATAAACAATATATTCCCATTGCCTTGCTTATCATTTCATCCAGTTTTGCCAGGCAACATCAGATTTGGAGCAAGCATTGATCTACACTACTTGTATTTCTAATCACACTTCTTTCTACTTTGTATAATTCAGTTAAATATCCTATATACATTATCGCTTGATTTGGTGTCACTGTTACATCCTAAAAGCTGCCAACATGCTATGATTTAATGCAATCACATTTGTGATAAATTATTTCCCCCATAACAATTGAATATTGTATACCAAAGACTAGTTTGTGTGTACACTTCAGCTTTGTGTATCATAAGATAGCTGTTTGCCATTAGGAGGCGAAAGGTCAACTACTTTTACATTTAGGACTAACCCTTCCTTCTCTCCCAGAATGCACAGCGGTAGGTCTGAGGTGCTCCACCTGGGGTTTTGTTATTAGGAAAGAGAAAAAGGAATTTCTTATAAAAAGGTGTTAAATTAATCTGATCTTAACAATGCCCTCTGTTTTCTGGTCATGTTATTTGTCAAGTCAGTCTAATTTGGTATTAAAACATGGTAACAAACATACATATATTCATTTTTAAGTTTAGATCGTGTTCAAAAATAGATTCAGCCAGCTCTCTAGGGATGATCTATATTATTGATACTTATCGAGGCCAGAAGAAGAGAAATAATTTCAGTTATGGCTTACAGATTATGTCACTTAAAATTGCCATTTATAGGGGCTAGAGAGATGGCTCAGTGGTTAAGAACACTGGTTGTTCTTGCAGAAGATCCGGGTTTGAATCCCAGCACCCACATGGCAGCTAACAACTCTCCTTAACTCCAGTCCCAGGATATCCAACACCTTCTTCTGACCTCTGTGGGCATTGCATAACAAGGGTGCACTTACATATATGTGGGCAATACACTCATATACATATAATAAAAGAAATAATAAATCAAACACTTAAAAGACAAATATTTAGAAAACAGTTTGACAGCATGACTACTTAGCCAAACAAAAGTAGATTAGGGCCTATGCCTTCCCAAAGCCATGAACTTTTCACCCAGGCTTACAGTATCAAGCATGAATTTCTTCCTGTGGAGCAGGCCTCAAATCCAGTCAGAAAGTGGTTGGTTACTCTGCAAAATTCATGCCACTATTTCACCAGTACGAACACCTTGCCTGGCAGGTAGTACTGCAGCATGCAGTGTCTAGCATTGAGTAAGGTCACTGATTTCTAAGATCCGGGTTTGAATCCCAGCACCCACATGGCAGCTAACAACTCTCCTTAACTCCAGTCCCAGGGGATCCAACAGCCTCCTCTGACCTCCGCAAGCATTACACGACACAGGTGCACTTACCTACATGCAGGCAATACATGCATACACATAGAATAAAAGCAATAAAAAATTTTTAAGAAATTACAAGCCGGGTGTGGTGGCGCATGCCTTTAATCCCAGCACTCAGGAGGCAGAGGCAGGCGGATCTCTCTGAGTTCAAGGCCAGCCTGGTCTACATAGTGAGTTCTAGGCCAGCTGGGGCTACCGAGAGACCCTGTCTCAAAAAGACCATATATATATTTACTATTTATAGCCAGGCGTGGTGGCACACTCTTTTAATCTCAGCACTCTGGAGGCAGAGACAGTTGGATCTCTATGAGATTAAGGCCAGCTTGGTCTCCATAGTGGGTTCTAGGCCAGTCGGGGCTATAGGGAAATCCTGTTTTAAAAAAAAAAAAAAAAATCCATCATTTATCAACATTGTCTTGGAGGGAAGACCTTAATCTCAAAGTTGATTAGACCAATTAATTTTAAAAGAAACAATATAAATAATTACATACTTTGCAAAAGATTTTACCCTAAACCATAATTTTTAAATGGCTTCCATAAGATATTGAGATTAATTCATGTAACTTTTGGAAGGATGTGCCTTTTACTGCCACAATGAACCCATTTCTGGTATTGTGACAAAACTTTGTTTTCCCTCTACAGAAATTGAAAGTCTCATAAGTGTATAGACGTAGGACTAGGAAAACCCCTGGGTATTACACTGGAGGGTTGACAAAACACTGATTTATATGTGTGTTGAATTTTATCAAGTGTTTTCACAGATTGCATCTTTTTCTCTGGGTCCCTTTGCAGACATTTTCTTTTCTGCGCATGAGAATATAAGGCTTAAAGAACTTAGTGAATTGTCTGGAGCCTCAAGTGCTGAAAGCCAGGGTTTGAAACCCAGCTGACATCTGGCTGTGCCACACACCAAAGGCTCAGCATTGGCCTCTGACATTTTCAAGGTTAGACAGTAACATCTGATGTTCAGAAAGCACATTTTTAAAAATGTAGGAAATAGGGAAAACAAACTGAAGAACATTGACATTTCTTCCCAGATACTAGGCATCCAGGTAGCATGTATTTTGTGTGCTTTTATTTCCTTTTATAAAAAGAATTGCATTTTTCATTTTTATTAATTTATTAGAAATAAACATCTTCATTTGATAATTCATTTTCATGAAATATACACAACGTTTTCATCCATTTTCCAGACAAATATTGGAAGCCTCTTTCACAATTTTCTTAGTCATTTTCTCTTCCCTCCTAACTTGCAGTGTGGTTTGGATGCTGACACCCTTCATTCTGGGAGGACAGAGTGATTTTGTCAGCTAGATTTCTTGTCTCCCTACAGAGACTGTTCAATCACAGCAAGTGAAGGATTTTGCAGTGCTCGTACAAATACACAGGAGAAAGCATATAATTTCTAGTTATTTATAGCCCACAGAGCTGTGCTTTCTTATTTATAGCAAAGCCTCACATTTGAATTGAAAAAGTCACGGTCACCTGGAGGTCAAATGCAGATAGCAGACTCAGTTCACAGGAAAATGAGCTGAGCTGGAGAGAGCTGGATTGTTCCCTCGACTCGGGGTTATACTTTGCTCCTTCATCAGCTTAGAGTTAATTGAATGGTGTCTCTTTGCTGTTAGGTGATTGGTTTTCTAGGATGCTTTGTCTGAGCTGCTTCTAGTCAAAAAATAGATGTTGTGAGGTGGAAAAAGCTCTTTGGTTAAACTGTTATTAAGATTACATTTAGAAAGAAACTACGAATAATTTTCCTGATCAAACTTACTGTTTTAATCAGGTATTGCTAGATTTTGGATTTTTGCCATAAACTCCAACTTTGTAAAGCACTGCTATTTTGGGGACACTCATTTGTGTTTGGTTGTTGTTCCTCTCAGATGACTCTAAACCACAAATATATTGAGAGAAATAAGTAAAGATTTCATGAAGTTTAGCTGCTTCTCATGTCGATTTTGCATCTACTCTTTGAGTGTGGGTTGATGCACAAGCTTGACTTTCATTCTGTACAATGCAGTGTTTTGCAAAACAGTAAAAAATAGTATGTAAATGCTTGACGAGTTTATATTCCAAACTTGAGAAGATGTAGCATTCCCATCATATTGCATCTCAAAGGGCAAACTGACAAACTCCATAATGCTGTTGAATCACACAAAGGGCATCACCCCAACTTTTAGTCATCCTTTGCCCCATGAGCACCTGCCCAAAGGGAGACCCACTTCTGCTTGCTTCACTTACACTCACATATGGTGCAAACAGCATGAGCACCAAGGTTACCCTGCCTCCATATTCTAGCTAATTCATTGTGGGAGCCTGTTCTGGTATATAGGACATTTAGCAGCACACTGCACTCCCTTTCTAGATGCCGTTATTCATCTGTGCTAGCTAAAAATTCTTCAGACTTTGCTAAATATGTGCAGGGAGTATGGTACACTTCTGACCATTGAGCTCAGGGACCTGCCTGTCTCCCATCCCCCCAGTATTGGAGTTACAGATGTGCACAGCTGTATCTCTGTTTCAGTCTAGTATTTCCCTCACTTCTGACTCAGAGATGAAACTAGGTTGCTATGTAGGCATGTTCCACAAACTGGAAGCCCTATCAAGGTGTAAGGATGTCGGTAGCCTCCAATTCTCATCTTTTGTTTATGAAACTGAATGTTAGACCACTTTCCTAGCTCCCAGTACCTGTGAGGCAGGTAAAGGTGGCTGTTCCTGTTCTGACTATAAGACAGATTTAGAGGTCTCAATATTTTTCTACTTTAATATAAGCTGTTATGGAAGCAGAAGATAAACGAGCAAGCTCCTGGGATGAATATTATCGTGATTTGCCCTCAGATCACCCCTTCCCCTCTCTGCTTCATCTTGGTTTCCAGAGTCCCAGTGTTTCCTAGAAAGCAGCTGTCTTTAGAGCTGCCCAGGAGGCTTGCTCCCCTGCTAACTTGTATTTTGGCATCATGTTTCTGGACTTAGGCCCACGTTTATGGTATGTTGAAGTAGGTCTGGCCCCATGTGGAGCTAAAGGAAAGAAAAGATGAATTTGTGAGCACATTGGTATAATCCAGTAGACTTCCGTTATTGCCTCAGCAGGCTGTGGTTTGCATACTGTAGGTAACTCAGTGTGGGCACTGAATTGGACGTGCCACCATAACCGCCAACCATCCTAATGGTTCTGCCTTAATGTGTGGGCCATTTAGTCTATGGCTGGATTTGACCTCTTGTTTTTAATTATCTTCTTGATCTTCCAACTGTGAAATAGTAGATAATAATTCCTGTTGGCACACTACATAATACATATTATAATAGAACTGTGAGTTTTTAAGTGTCCAACTGTATACAAAATAATTTTTTAAAGCTTTGGTTCTGCATTAAATAATATACCACAGGAGTGATAAATAAAAGCTTTCACAAAGAAAAGTATGAAAAGCTAGGTCTTTGATATTCAGAAATGGTTAGATAAAAAGATTTTCAGAAGCTTTCTTTACATATGTAATAGTTACTCGGTGCACAAACTTGACTCAGTAGGCCTTTAACATATATGACTGAATGCATGAAATCTTG